AAGACAGATAAACAGCGCTACAGCTACAAAGGACAGCTACCTCTCTGCTGTAGCCTGATAATGAAAACCTAATCAGACAAAAAGTCCAGGGAATATTTTTGTCATCATATGTGTTCTTTGTGTTCTTTTGGTTCCATAGTTATTACAAAAAATACTTTAAATTGCACTGTGAGAACAGCATTAGAATGGTCAGCCCTAAACTAGATGAATCCACACTAAACAGATTCTTTTGAAATGTTTCAGATGTTTATGGACAATTCATGGGTTGTACAGAAGTCCTGTAATGAAACACCTCAAGGTGTCACTGTCATCTCCCACATATGCATTAGTATGCATTAAAGTCCCTCCAGTAGAATGATTGAATCCATGGGATTGACACTGTCAACAGATTTACTTAGCTGCTCATTTTATGTGAAAACAGTCACTCTAAAGTCTCCACTATCTCACTGATACTTGTTAACAGAAAAATATCTATATACCACCTGATATCAACTATATGTTTACCCATATTAATTTTTAAAATATAGGAAACGCTTGAAATTAAACTTTTAAAATAAAGTTGTGTTTGTTTGTTTTTTTGAATGCAAATAAAGAAATTTGTCTTATTTACAAAGTTTTCATACAAGATTTAAATGTAGGTTACGTGAATGTAAAGCATTGTTTTCTAATAATAATACGGATTAGAAAAACTTGTTTAGCTGCAGGTCTTGTTTTACATGCTTTAACAAAGAAAACAATTGTTTACATCCATTTATTGGGAAATAATTTGCACACCTTTCATATTAAATTATTGGTTCTAAAATATTTGCAAAAGGATAAAAAGAGTGAATAACGGTTCAAGCTGTTGCATTAATCTTGCAGACTTTTCAATAAGTTTTTTATTGTTATGGTTTTTCTCATGCACTGCATTATCCTATACATTTTAACTAAAGTGACTTGCACAGTTATACTTCATCTTCGGTTGCTGAATACCCCTGCAAACCATAACCATGAATTAGTCTGTTCTTATGGTTAATTCTAAGTGGTAGTAAAATTGCTGTGGCTAAAAACATTGCAAATATCTCATACAAAGTGTTTTCTCAAGTGGAGACAGAAATGTGAAACTGTTTTTCAGCTCCAGTGATGAGTTACTGTTTCTGCCATTCTCTTGTTGTTGTTATAGTTCTTTGTTTCTTTTAGCTAATGGACATAATATTAAGCTATTAACAAACTGTTTCACGAGTAGAGGCAAATTTGAATACCGGTACATACATTTTTTTTTGTGAAATTTCAAATTTAAGATTAGCACATGCCTAAACTTATAAACAACAGTATTTGCTGTGTGATGTGTTTCTGCTGGTTGCAGCATAGGAACCAATGAAATATCCTCATTATGTGCTACAACTTTGGTTCTTTCATCTGGGTTTAATTCAATTTATCTCAAAGGTATTGCTAGAATAGCAACTTTAAAGAGGGGATAAAGCTTTACCAAGTTATAAATGTACTGAGTTGGACTTGTGCATGTCCCTATGAGAAATACTGAATAAGTTAATTATGGGGATATAGATATGTGAGGCATATGATCAAAAGGGTCTTTAAAACTAACAGAAATTACATCATTTTATAGTATCTTTGCATGTGCTGACTGAAGGATTATGTCCTAAGATCTCTAGACTATGTCTTTTGTTATCTCATATCCCTCTGTGAGCTTTCTTTCAAGCAGTATTACTGAGCTATTGCAGATATTGGTTTCTTCCCTATGGGCTTGCATGGTTGAGTCTTTAGCTTCAGAGTCTATAATGATGGGCCACACTGACTAATTTTTCACATCCTGTGACCATAATGTAGGCTCTAAGTGAACAATAATCCCTCTTTTTTTATAAACATAGTTCTGAGTCTTATGCTTAAATCTAGGAGTTACAGAGAAAATCAATGGCCCAAGTGTTTGTTCCAATCCAATGCAATTCTGCATTGTAAAAATAATACATGCAACATATTTGAACAGTGCACAGCTCATACAAAATCAGTAGTTTCTAACCAATATTGTACTTGATTCTCAAATTGTCATGATCGGTTTAAGGAATCTTACCCACATGCAGAGAAACCACTCAGAGAATAAGGGGAAAGGTTTACCAGGTTTATTTGATGTAAGGTAAACAGAGGTTGGATCTGGAACTTAGTGAACTGGTGAACCAGAACTGGAAAGTGTTTGAGGGAGCTCTTGTCAATCCTTGAATCCAGTCTGTGTGGGATTATCCAGAGAAGAGGGAACTCGTTGGAGAGCGGACAGGTAGACTTACGTTGGACCCAGAGGAGTAATGGAGCAGACTGTCACTTGGATTTCCGAAAGGAACTTGAACGGATCATGTGGAGGTTTTCCCCTGCTCAGTGTAAACTCAGTAATTCCTTCTAGGGGGGGGAGGTCCAGGTATCCAGTTTTGAAAGGAAGGCTTCCTGCCGAAGAGCAAAGACAAAAAATAGTCATAAGACTCAGAGAAATAAAGCTAGGTTAGACTCTGCTAATCTCAGCTTGGCTAGAGTACCCAAAACTGGCAAACACTGTGGCCTCGAGGCAGTGACAGCCCACAGCTCAAATACTCCTCCAGTAATGAACCACATCAGTATATGCCTACTCAGGTAACTAATACACTGCTGATGCCATCTCAGGTGTGCAGGGAGCCCCAACGAGGTCAGGGCACCACCTGGTGGTGGAGAGAGAAGATACACACAAACAACCCACACAAACTGGATTCCTAGCACAAATAGATTTTTTTAGAGAAAGATTACTCTGTTTTACTGTTAAATTCAACAAACGTAAGAGTTGAAATGTCACTGTATCGTAGTTAAGTGGAGGTTTTTGTGGACCCAAATGCAGAGATGAGGAGGCAGAGATGAGTTTTATAAATTTAGTAGAAAGTCAAGGAAACAGGGACAAAAATACAAAATACAAAACTGCTGAGAATGAGAATAAGATAATATCAGGAACAAGTCATGTGGGGAGCCAGAGATTATGAAGCAAAAAAACAAAACAAAACAACAACAACAAAACAGCACTGAGTGACTGCATAGGTGGTGTATAAATGGATAACAGAACAAAGGATGGGCGAATGAGCTGAATATGGAGCAGGTGTGAGTAGAACTAACTAGAAGGAAGCCAAGGGGAAAGGAAACAAGTACAAGGGGGCAACAGAGAGTAACTCAAGAACTAAACACTGCTTGAAATAAACTAAAAATACACATGAACTAAAAATAAACTTAAACAGGGGGTAGAACCCTGACACACCTTATGTGCAGTTCTAGACAGGCCAGCAGGAGCCAGTCCTTTATTTTGGTTTGACTTGGGCTCAGCAACTCTTGCTTTTACATTGTTATTGGTGACCTATTTTGTGTCGGACTGGAAGGATTTAAGCTGTAGCAGTACAGGGTGGATTCTCACCATTCGCACCATTACAGGTGGAACCTCTGTGCAACCTAATTATGTGCAGTTTGAGAGAGTGACTGTTGATCCATATAGCAAAAATATCATCACGATTTTTTTAAATATAAAATACATGGGCACTAAAGGGTTATGCTTGGTGGACATCTTTAACACATTACTGTCCCTGGCATCTGTTCTTATCTGTTTGAAGTCCACCTCTGTTGTTGCTACCCCCAAGTGCTCCACAGGCCGGAATGACTACCGACCTTTAGCCTTTATGTCTCTAGTTAGGAAGTGCTTTAAGAGGATAATCATTATCCACACCACCGTGGACCCACATCAGTATATGCCTACTCGGGTAACTAATACACTGCTGATGCCATTTCATCTGTGGTACACACCAGAGGTGGGATCAGGTCATGTTTTACAAGTCACAGGTAAGTCTCAAGTCTTTGACATCAAGGTTGAGTTGTAAAAATTTTGCAGGGGAAATTCAGTAAGTTGACTGGAATATTACTGTTCGCATCAAGCTCTTCTAATGTGATACTTCAAAATCCACAAAAAAAGTGGATAGAAACAATAGTACTGGGATTATGTTTGATCAGAGGATATATTGATTCTGAATCATTCCTCACACTTCTGCTATAGTGTCAGCCTGATCCTGACAGAATTTGCTCCAGGTCCTGATTTTCTTTTTTTTGTGAGGTAAAGAATTTATTAAGACATTTTTGAGTTAGAAAATCTCCTTAAGGCAAACCTTCACTGGTAAAATGTTGACTATCAGAGATTAAACCAAACACTTATTTTTCTAAAGGTTAAAGCAAAGAAGCAAGCTATTAATAGTCAAGTCATACTTCCAAGAGACCAAACAAGCTATTATGCTAGTTTACCTTCACAAGTATCAATCTGCTTTGCAGCACTGACTCTTTGGATCGAAATGGCAGAGATCCTTACCTGAAGCAGCAGAGAAAGTCATGAATACTAACAAAGGTCTTTGTCACATTTGCAAATAATCTTTTGTTTTAGATACTTTCTTTTCAGACATGTTTTGCTTTTGTGAATCAGTTTGCATGTTTCTTAGTTTTTGCCATATGGGTTAGTGAAATTTCAAATACAAACAATACGGTTATGTGATAGGGGTGAAAAGCTCAGCATAACTAATGTTTATTTACTGTATGTATAAATTATGACATTCGCCAGAAATGGTAAAAAATTATGTAAACATTTTATCCATACAGTACATAAGCATTTAAACCATTTAAAGCAACATAAAGGTTAATCAATTATAAATACAGTTTATATAAACAAAAATACTTATGTAAATTAACAGTCAATATTTATTTACAGACCCTGCAGAAAAACTGTGATAAAAAAAAAAAAAAATCAGTAAAGTTAACCAATAAAATATTTACTACTAGCATAAAAGTTGCAATAAAGAGTTGGAATTCAAGTCTGAAACATACTTACTTTATTTTAAAATCAAGAGGAGAGGTTTTATGGAATAGTAAATAAACAACTTTTTTTTTATTGCACTGATTCACTTTTCTATATATAAAAGACTGGTGTTTTATGCTGAAAGTAGTGGTGGGATGTGAATATAGATTTTAATCAAGTTAATTGGGACTGTAATTAATTAATTGCATTAATCACATTTAAATCTAAAACCATATCCACAAAATAAACCAACCTTTGAATTTAATATTTTTGCTTCTCAGTTATTGAATGAACAATCATACGAGCACAGCAACAAATATATATCTTGTTTGTAATTGATTATTTAGGTTATCCAACCATCAGATTGGTTAAGAGTTATAATATTTTAGCTTTATTTAGAAACCCCTGATATTTATGCAACTTTTTTGTAAAAGCACTTTAAATTAAGTTTTGACATGAATATGAACATTAATTATGGCACAGTTGTTTCAGCTAAATATGGTTAAATATATATATGGCAACAAGGCATAAAATATTGCCTGTAAGAGCATTACATTTTCTTTAAACTTCTGACAGAGCTATAACAGTTAAATTTTTTTTTTTTGCATAATAATTGCATTTTAATTTGCATCATTAAGTCAACTAAAACATTTGCCACTGAGGCTTCTTGTTTCTCGTTAAGCCAATTACTTAAGCAAACAATCCGTGCTCATGTTCCTAGCTCCTTCCTAACTGCATAAACTGTTCAGATATTAAGTGCTTATTATGGCAACTGCGAACACACTTCCACAGTGCCTTAGGTATCCATAATGCTTTGAGAAACTTGGATCAAGCCATGTTTTTAAAAACCTCCTCAATACACATGAGATGGATTAAATACAGATGATCGATGCTAACTTTAAAAAGCAGCAGCCCACACCTTCGTTGTTCAAAAATGACGGGGAGAAAGTCAGCTTCAAACCAAGCAGCCAAACTAAACCTGCTTTGCTGGCAAACATGCATATAAATGGGTCATGCCCACTATTTTCCCTTTTTTCGTAGCATCGAAATTTAGAGCAAACCCATCAGGCAATGCTAGCCAACATCAGTTAACCATCAGTTCAATCAGCAAAAAATTTATAATGTATACAAAATCCCCCCTCCATCAATTTTGTGAGTTTAAAGCCAGAGGGTAGAAACAATAACAACAAAATCATGTGGCATATTTTAACGTTCTCTTTCAGATTCTATGTCAGATTTAGATTGGACCAGATTATATAATCAGTTCCAAAATTTAGATCTAAAGTATGTCAGTAAAATTGGGAGGTAAGAAATATTTGGATATAAATACAGTCTACATTCTTTATTTGCATTTAACCGGCTTTTTCAAGGTTTTTTTTTCTAGTAATTGATCTTTTTGTCTTATACAAAAATATAAAACAAAACTTTTTTGCTGTTTTGATTGGAAGCAACTACTGTTGAGGAAGTATTAAAATATACTTAAAAGCTGTATAACATTAAACTAATCTCCTGAAAGTGCCATGCTTTTCTTTTCAAACACCTTGAAGTTTAATTAGTGGGATCTATGGGTCTTCTGTTTGTTTGATGTTTATATTAAGAATAGAGCTGAGGTTGTTAGATCTAAAGTTCATAGTTATATTTTCCTTGCTCAACCCGCTTTACTTTGATGTCTAAAGTGCTTATTTAATGCCGTGAAAAAGGTAATATTTTCTTATGCAGAGAACAGCAGAATACGTCTTTGAAAATTAAATCACATGCTGTTAATAAGATTTATGCATATCAAAAGGAAAATGTACTTGAAGCAATCATGAATTGAACTTAAACCATAAACTTTTTCTTATTTGACTTTTACAACCCAAAAGTTTAGCATTATATTGCAGGTTTAGTGGGACAACCCAACACACAAAAAAAGAAAAATTGTGCAGTGGGAGAAAAATGAAACTTAGTTTTAATGTGGCATACTTTTTTTTTCTGATTAACTGTAATATGTCCAAGAACATAAACACACCTAATCCTAAAAGACTAAGTTAACTATAATACTTTAATAAACTACAATAAATTTAGTTTAAATAAAAATAACTTAGAAGTATCCCTGAACATATATGTTAAAGGTGCACATTTAATTCTTAAAAATCTCATTTTTGATAAACCCTTAAGCCATGAAAACACCAAACACGATTTGCTTCTGACCCGACAGAGTCTTACAAGGTCATAACACTTGATGCTCAGATGGTTTTCTGCAAGGGGGCTTACATAGCTCAGAATGAGATGAACTTCTGCTCTGTTTTAGTCGTACTACGCAGCAGCTAAGTAGCAGTTTCATGGGTATGACAGGAAAAGAGTAAAGTAAAACACTATCAATTTTGGGAAATTACTAAATAAAACAGTTTAAAAAATGAATTAAATATTTCAAAAAGCAAAATATCTTACCTATACCTTACTATCCTCTTTATATAAAAAAAAAAGAGAAAAACTTCTAACTTCATAGATCACTCTTTGAGAATCACCACTTACTGCTGCACTCAGTACCTTTATATCTACAGATTTTATTACTGTGTTTTCCTTTTGTTTAAATGTATTTCATACTGTTTTGTATAAATTGAAATAATCTGGGTTGAAAATGTGGATTAAAGGCCAGTCATGACTTTGTAGCCGTGCCAGCAATTATTATTATTATTTTTTTTAATTTGGGATCTTGTCTCAATTTAAGGGCCTAGATACATGCCCCACAAATGTTAAAGAAACTGTTAAAGGAGCCTCTCTTTACGAACTGCAGTCCGTGTGACATGGAAAAAAAGCATCTGATAAAATCAATAACAATAACGGTCATTGCAAAAGAGATACAAGTTTAAATGTTGATATATAGAAAAAAATATATGTCACTGCATTGTGTAGGCTATGAAAACATCATGAGAGAATGCATAAAGATGCAGTGCTCGCTCTAAAGCATCGTTTAACTGCTCTCCACCATGTTGAAATGTCCAAGTTTACTTGTTCTTGGGAACTTTGGTATCATAATATTTTTCCAGTTTTCAGGTAGAAATTACAACATGAGCGGGTGTTTTGATTTTTGGCATTTACCAAAATTACGAGACCCCAAGAAGGTAGCATTAGTCAAAATTTTGGGTAAAATTTACTGCTCGGCAGAGGTCTGCGCTCTCTAAGTGCTTTTCTAGTTTTATCCTTTATTAACGCTAAAGTCAGAGACATATGTGGGGACAGCTTTTGCCAGGCTCAGGTCATTGAAGATGTTTGGTCACCTTATTATGGGCGCTCATTTAATTGCTAAAACTCACCAGGTTAGTGCACAGACTACAGCCCAAGAACTCAGTTCCCTGTGTCTGATGTAGGTGATCACCCATGTAGCCAGTGTGCTGCAGCTCTTGCTGTTCAGATCGAATCTGGTCTTTTTACATGTCTGTGTCAGTTTAGGGGAAAAGCCATGTGTTTGCAGATTTGTATGTACTATTCCATTTCCAGATGATGGACTGAACAGTGTTCTATGAGCTGATCCAATTTTGGAGATATTAATTTTTAATTTAACCCTGTTTCTCCAAAACTTTGTCCATGATCCGCCAGTTGTGTTGCTTGTGCTGACAATCTTCCTTTGTGGCTTTTAATGTAATCTCTATCTCTGTTTTCTCTTTTAGTTTTAGTTAATGTAGAATAAATTCCATTTAATAAAAATCATAAACATTTGCACATGATGAGATAATGACATAATTAGTAAACGACAAACAAACAAGAAACCAAGCCTTTCAAATAAACCTACACTTTAAACATAAAGGCATTTCATGTTTTACAAAGTTTTGTTAGAGCTTGTTTAATTAGGAGCAGACCGATTGGTTTTACCAAGAGACTTTAATCATTCAGTTATTACAAACAAGCAGATTGTTTTCCATATTTTCAAGGATCATGTAATGGATAGCACATGTAAATGTGTTTACCTTAGACATTTTGTCAGTGTTGCATCATAATAACAGATGTAGAACTTTATTGTGTTTCAGTGTTCTACAAACTACGTATTAAAATCAACTACATACATTCTTCTGTCTTTCGATTATAGTAAATACAACATTAATTGATATTTGATTTTTGTATCATCTATATTAATTTGCTTTCAAGAATATGCTGCAGTTGTTAGTGACAGACGGGATGGATTAATCTGTGATGAGAGGTAACTGCAAAGAAATTTTAGCTTCAAGTCATAAAATTTCTCTTTTGATGTAGATTAAAAAGAGAAATCATATTTCTCCTATCTTAGCTTCCCTTTTTTGGCTTCCCGTTAAATTCCATGTATAAAGCACTAAATAACCAAACTATGTCTAAGAGATATGATTGTTCCTTATGTTCCTAACAGAGCATTTTACTCACAATCTGCAGGTTTACAAGTATTTCCTAGAATCTCAAAGCAGAATAGGAGGCAGATATTTTAGTTATCAGGCTCGTCTTCTTTGGAACCAATGAACTGTTTTCGTCTGTGAGGCAGACACTCTGTCTTCTTTTAAGGGTAGGCTTAAAATTTTCATTTTTGATAAAGGTTATAGTTAAAGTGGCTCAGGTTATCCTGAGCTATCTCTATTGTTATACTGCATGAGGCTTAGGCTGCTGCAGGACATAGAAACCACTTTACATCATTTTGCTTCTTTCTGTTATTATCATCCAATTTGCAGTATTTTGATATATCAACCCCTAACTATATGTGCTTTCTTTAATCTTTTTGACATTGTTTAAAAGCAGATTATGAATATATTATTCCATCCATCCATTTTCTTACACGCTTATCCCAATTGGGGTCGCGAGGGATGCTGGTGCCTATCTCCAGCTGTCTACGGGCGAGAGGCGGGGTACACCCTGGACAGGTCACCAGTTCATCGCAGGAACTGGAAGTTATAGTTAATTAAAATGTAATTCCAATCAAGAAGTTAAATGTTTATAACTGACAATTTGCTCAATTACCAGGTGTTATTAACTGCTTATGTTTGTAGCTGGTTGTTTTGGACCAAATGTTAAAATCCAAGATGTCTTAACCACCAGTAAATGTCAATAACTTGGTGTATGATTTAAGGAGATTTATTATTCACTAACCACAAGAAAATGTTTTTCCCGGTTTTAAGTTGCTACTCAAAAGAAGCAGGCTCTTCTCTTTTTAGACAACTGGTCACTTGTGTGTAAATCATCACAGACTACCACAATTAAAAGGAAAGGGTTACTTTATTAAACATATAATCCCTACCACCGTATTATTGTTTAATAAAGTATTCAAACCATACAAGCTACTGCAATAAACACAGAAAATAAATGAAAGAATCAGTAAACATAAAAGAGCTCAAATTAGTTCTTCAGGTAGAGACTTTGATCATGTTCAGTTAATTTGCTCCTCTGATGTGATCCACTGTGGGGATGTCCTTCAGATTAGCAGCAGAAATGATATAGAGCAGACAGATGTGTTACTAGCTGCATTAGAAACTGGCAGAAAAACAATTACCACTCATTAAAGCTGAGAAAGTAGACATATTTGTCTCTTTTTCTGTTTCTAATTTGTTGAACTGTGGACTCTGAGTCTGTAATTATAAAGTATTTCATATCGTTGACTGAAGCTTTATACATTTGTCAGAGTTAATATAGTTTATGTAAATCTAATTGTATAGCCACTTATTCCATGTTTATAATTTCCTCCACTTGTTTTAGAATTAAGCATCACATGTGAGATAGAGATACATAGAGATAGGATTTTTTTGTTTTTCACTCCAAAGACTAATTTTCAGAATAAGCGTCTGACTTATTTACAAATTGCTTAGCATCTCCATTAAATGGTTAATATTTGATCTCTTAAAATGCTAAAATGCTTAATTTTGTTGTTTTACTTTGGATGTCTATTATCCTAATTTACGTGCTTTCTTCTGTGGTCTCATTCCCTTCCTTACAGCCCTGTCAGATGTTATACTGGCTGGCACAGACTGCTTGGTGGCTGGAGACTCGTGCTCCAGTGATGAGACTTGTAGTCCGCGCCTACGCACTCTGCGGCAGTGTGTGGCCGGCGACGGCAGCATGAAGCTTGGCCCCAGTGCCAAAAGCCAATGTGCCAACGCAGTGTCTGCCCTCCTGTCCAGTCCCTTACGTGGCTGCCAGTGCAAACGAGGAATGAAGAAGGAAAAAAACTGTCTCAGCATCTACTGGAGTCTTCATCAGTCCATCATTCATGGTCTGTATTTAATGTAGAAAGCATGTTTTGATAAATCACAAACACAGCAACAGACTAAGTTAGATGTATTATTTCATCCCTTTGTGTCTATAAGTGACAAAAATAAAATGCTGATTTATTTTCTGCGTTTTTGGTTTTATCTTCTAATCTTTCATTTAGGCCATCTGTTATATTTTCAGGACTGAACCTCGTGGAGAGTTATCCCTATGAGACGGTGCACAGGGATTATGATTATGTCCGCTTGGCTTCGATTACAGCAGGTTTGCTGACATCCTCATTACAGTTCCCCCTGTTGTTTATACCATTTCATCCTTCAAAGTCATTTTGTTCTTGAAATAAGTCACATAATCCACTGACCTCCCTGGAAACATGCCTAATACAAATAAAACTATTTCATGGCAATCCTACATAACATAAATATTCATCTGACTAATTTCAAACAATCGAACTTATTTGTTTATGTTGTGGGTATTTTTGGATACATCTCCTTTACATTCATAGTTTTAAATAAAACAGAATAATCACTGTGTGTTACAGCATGCTAATGGGGAATTTTCTTTAAGTAACCAACATTTAGTCATATCATGCCGTAATCTAAATCTTTTTTAGAATAGGACTTTTTAAACAATAAATCCATACAGAAAAATAAATTAAACTGTTAAAATTGGACAATTGCTTTCTGTTAGAGATGAAGACTATGGATTGGTGAAGCTGTTTGCATTTATTTTTGTTTATAATATTCATTCTGCTTTTCTTGCAGATACATGTTCCTGTACTTTTACAGCTTTACATGATTGTCTTGTTACCCTGCTGTTCTCTCAATCTGAAGAATAGCTATGATAAATACATGCTAGCAAAAATGATCTCTTCCAAAAGACCACCTCCAATTTTGTGATGCATTTTGTGGTAAAGCCAGAGATTTATAAACTGAGGCGATGTACCCTAATTTTTTTAGTGAGTTTTAGTGAGGAGGTGGGCAGCAACACCCTTGCTCAACTACAGCAGGGTTTCTGATGGTCATTAAAAATCATTAAATGTCATTAAATTATTATTTTTTAAATTAAGGTCTTAATTGGCATTAAAATTCACCAAATGTGTTTATTGTGGCATTCTAAATGCTTTCCCAAAAAAAAATAGTTTATAAAAACAATTTCGTCAAACATATCATATCACGATATATTTGTGGGGAACTTCTTCCGGTTGATCGCAAAGCCGTATGTTCGGAAAAAGCTAGAGATTTGGGGAAAAAGGCCAATTTCAACTAAAGCGTACCTGTTGTTGGCATTAAAATTATTTATAAGAGCATTAAAAGATTAGATTAGATGAGCTTTATTGATCTCACAGCAGAGAAATTAACTGGTCACATATTGGCATAGTAATTAAAGAAGCTGCAAACAAGGAGGAAAAGGTGCATTAAGAATAAACAAGCAAGCACTGTATATACAGTATATCAAAATTAAAGCATTAAGTTAGAGTTATTCATTCCTGTATATACCCTGTACAGTTATCTGACCCAAATTTTATGTAGATCTGTGGGGAAAAAATAAAGACACTAAAGATAAATGGATGAGACTGGATGAGATTTTTAAGATTCTATTAGGTAATTAGTCCTTTCAAAGTTTATTGCCCACAGTGTCTAAGTTTCACCATATATAGTTTAGAGCCAATAACTCAACTAAGAATTCTATGTGCTTGTTTGCAGAAAGCATCAGAGTTCACTTGGATTGAGGTTGTGTTGTTGTGTAGAATTCCAGGGTCCCAAGAAAGCCTTTACCAGTCATAAAATCCGGCTTATAAAATGGGCAGCTGTATTTTTACACAAGTAGCACTTGAAGTCTTTATTATCTCACTGATAGCTTGCAAATGGTCAGACTTCAGTCATGTAAATCAACAGCTATCAGTTTTTCAATGGGTTTTCCTAAAGGATCAACCTTAGAACTATTGCTGTTCTTACTTAATGTGAATTATCTTCCATCTGTTCAGATGGCAACAGTGAGGGTGGAGGTCGGTGTTGGTCCTGTAAACTGACTGTCATGGGTTTGAATTTCAGCTCCTTTGTCTCAAGGCTAGAACATACCGAATCCGATTTTGCATCAGTTCCGACAGAAAATCATGTCGAATAACCTCATGGCATTTATTGCTCATTGAAGGTCAATGGTCCTGTGATGGTCTGGCAAACTGTTCAGGGTCTACCTTGCCTGTCGCCTGCAGACAGCTAGAGATAGGCACCAGCACCCCTCGCGACCCCAGCTGGGATAAAGTGTGATGGAAAATGGATGGATGAAAGTCAATGGGGATGATCACACCTGACAAAATTTTACACAAGGGAACTTGGGTAGGTCAGACTGAGAGGTCTGACAGAAGAGAGACACGGTTACAAAGTAAAACTTATCCACTTTGGGGGAAAACACAAAATAAAATCTGTTAATCGCACGGAGAAAGAGTCAGTTTTAAAGTCACACAGAGCATACACAGGATGTGGGGGAGACTTGTGCAAAAAAAAAAAAAAAAAAAATCAATGAAACATAAAAAAATATATTTTAGCCATGATAGAAGTTCAGGAGGATATGGATAAAGCAGTGATCCTTTTTGAGCTCCGTAAAAACAACGAAAGGCAGAAAGCTCAGTTGATCAATCTCCTCGAAAAAAAAACAATAAAATAACCTTAGGAGGAGAAAAAAATAGCAAAATAGTGATCCTCTTTGAGCCTCACAAAAAAAACCTAAATAACGAGGGGCAGAAAGAGCAGGTACAGTAATTAAGCGCAGCGTATCTTTCTCACCTCTTTATGAAAAAAACGAAAAAGTGATAAACCTCCCAGATCTCTCTCTGAGAATCATCTCTCACTGCCTCAGTTAGAATATAAACCATCCCACTGCATATATTGCCGTGTTTTTCTTTTCTTTAGACATTGATCTCGTTATGTTTTTAATATAGGCAAAGAAACATTCTCTCTCTGTTCTGGTTTGAGATGCTGCACAGACTTGCTTTGCTTTATAGGTGTGCCAGTGTTTAAAAAAACAAAAAAAAAAAAAAACTTTTCATAATCTGTCCAAGTCAAATGTGGAAAATTGTTTGAATTTGTGTATAGCACAGCTGCAGAAGTGAAAAAAGTCTTCTCAGATCTGCCCACCCTGCCTAGTTGGAGCCTATTCGCGGTCAGTGTGACATGGAAAAAAGCGTTGTGTTCAGGCCTTCAGTCTTACCTAGAGGTTCCACTGAAGGTGTCGTTCCTCAGGGCTGTCACAGTGGATCACTGCAATTGTAGTCCAAGTGAGGCATCTCTGAAGCACCGGCTTGCTGGCCACTCTTCTAAAATAGCTGGCTTTTCAGTTTCAGCTTCTTGTTGCTTCAGTTCCACTTAGAGCAAAGAGGATTGTTCAGCCAGGAAGTCGGTTGATGAAAAGCAAAGCAGATCTGGTCGAGTTTACAAAAAGATTACATGTGCAGACTTTGGATCGCATTTCCAGGACTTTGATTTGATAAAAAAATATTTTCAAATATCAAAATGTTTAAATTGATGTACTTGAATGACAGGTGTGATGAATATGACCATTAAATCAAACTGGAAAAATGTTTTTTGACTCACTCATGATGTAATAAAAAAACCTATATAATATATACTGTATATATCCCAAGCACCTTTTTCTTCCTTTTAAACCTTCTTCTTCTCCTTGGACTTTTCGAGCTGTTGTATTGAGTAAATTTCTTCTCTGTGACATAAAGTCAATCAATCAATTAATGATGATTAGTGTAATAGCAGGAACAGATAGAACTGGTAAAATAAACACCTTACTGGTTTATTGTTTGATTCAAAGCCTATAAGCACACTACTATAGCAGGCTGATGCAAACGTGATCAGAGTGCAACCTTATAGAGATGCTCCAGCATGAAAAAGCTCTCAGTGGAGGATGGTGTCTGTTAAAAGCCACACTGCAGTTGAACAGCGCTACATCTGAACAGTTTCTCCCATGTGGGGAACCCATGGGTCAGTTGTGTCCTTGGGCAAGTCTCTTCAGCTGCATTGCCTACTAATGGTGGTCAGAGGGTGTGGTGTCACTTGTGTAACGCAGCCTCACTTCTGCCAGTCAACCCTGGTGCAGCTTGCCACCATCAGTGTGCGCTTGAATAGATGAATGACTTAATGGAGTATAAAGGGCTTTGATGTCATTTGACTTGAAAGGGTGCTATATAGGTAGAGGCCCTTTTTTATTTATCTAATATATGTTGTTTGACAAGGTGTTATTCACAGTAGTAAGATGTTTTCCAAGTGGCTGAAAAGCTTACCAAAAGGTAAGTGTGATGAGTCTTTTCAAAAGTAAGAATAAAAAAATGAAAAATGGTGTAATAAGGAAAAAAAGCTACAATATTTGGTTAAATCAAATTTGGGATTAATTCTCCCATTTAAACGTTTGCAAATATATTGACAATACATTATTTCCAATCCCTTGTCCACATTCCTCCAGTTAGACGTTGTAAATATTGTGATGATTTCAAATAAAATGGGATAAAAAAGCTTCTTTGCCGTTTTTGCCATTCTAGTCAACCAGCGTGGTTAGCTTCTGTCTTTTGTGATATACATTTGGAGAAATTAAATTTAGAGTTTTGTGATAACTATGCCATCTTTCACTTTTCTTGATGATTGATGAATGTCTTAACTATGCCATGTTATATAAATAATGTTGAACTTTCTTTGCATTTCTTCTAATACCTTTGTAGAAGACATGTTAGTTCCCTTTCAGCTTCTCTGCAAACTATGGCTTTAGTAATTAAAAATGCAAGTATTGTGAAATGATGAGGAAAATCTGTAAGAATGGTGAACTTTATTTTAGATTAATGTTAGTTATGGGCTCAAAAAGGAAGGAATTGTGTTAAAAGTTATTAAAAGTTACTTCACTAAAGTTTATGTTAGGATGTGTGCATGTTCGTAACCAGAATGCTACATACTCTTATTCTACCCATAGCTGTTGTGCAATGTAGATAAAACATTTTGAATGATTATTTTATGGTCCCAATCCTAAGTGACAAAATTTAACACATTGCCCACTTTGTGTACATTTCTGAGAACCAGTTGATCAGATTTGTTTCCAAGAATTCATGAATGGCTGTGGGTTTGGCTATTTTAATTAACATGCTCGGAAAAAATATTAAGGTCAAAGAAACAACAACATAAATAATGAATATTACAAGTATCCTCCACAGGTCATACTTATTTGAATAAGCAATTATTTTACAGAATGCTAATACTTTTCATCTGACTTATTGACTCTGTGCATCCTTTCATCCACAGACTCTGAAGTTGGCATGACAACTGTGAATCGCTGCCTGGATGCAGCCAAGGCTTGCAACGTGGACGAATTGTGCCAGAAGCTGCGCACTGAATACGTCTCCACTTGCATCAAACCTACTTCCAAATCAGGCTTGTGCAACCGGCCTAAATGCAACAAGGCCCTGCGCAAGTTCTTTGACCGAGTACCTGTCGACTACACACACGAACTGCTTTTCTGCCCTTGTACAGACACTGCATGTGCAGAGCGTCGAAGGCAGACCATTGTACCAAGCTGTTCCTATGAAAATGGGGAAAAACCCAATTGCATTATACAGATGAAGAATTGTCATGCAGACTATGTATGCAGGTTAGAACATAGCAAAGTTGATGCATTTTATTATTTTCCATATTTTTAAGACTGTTAATAGAATTGCAGTTCACAGCTGTTTTAGTAAACAATAAATGAATAAACTGTAATTAAATCAGCCAAAAGGACACCTGTTTTACTTTAAAGCTTTTTTTGCCACCATTGCATTAAACACCCCAGTGAGAGACTGTTTAAATAACCTGTTAAATATTTAGTGCCGACTGAGAAGCAGATGGATCAGAGTTATTGCTCATTGCTATCTCCTGTGCATGGCCATTATTTTTCTTCAGCCCCATTACACTCACAGGGCTTTACTAATGATCCCAGGTCTGGGGTATGAAATATATTATTCTCCCCATCACATTATGTCTGCATTTCAGTAGTTTCAGTCTCTTTAGCATGTAAAACTATATATCTTTCATGTCATGTTAATTAAAGTTAGAACAGAAATAATTAATGAAAAAAAGCTAAAGGTTCTGCTTGAAACTTCACAAATTTCTGTCATTATTCTGCTAACTTGCACCCATCATGTTCTTTTGCAGGTCTCGTCTGGCACAGTTTAAGTTTGATTGCGAACCATCAGAAACATCTGCCAATGGCTGCAAGCAGGAGAACTATGGAGCGTGTCTCAGCGCCTACACAGGGCTTATAGGTGGGCAGACATCTAAGATGTTAGTCAGAGAAGGAAAACATGTGCAAACAAAACCAAATATGCTGCTGCATGCCAAAATGGGGATATACTCTATATGCTGTTTGAAACATAGGACAAACAGACAGGACTCAGTGAAAGCCAGGTTGAAGGGAAAATAGTGTGCACAAAACACAATAGGATTGAGTGGGAGACCTTACTAAGCAAGACAATAAAAAAAACTTAACCTGAAAACCTCTCTTAGTGCAAAACAAATAAGACATGCCTTCTATATAATGTAAGGTGCAGTGTATGTATTTGCTAATAGTCTTTTAAAGAAAAATAATGGTTATTTGGCTTTTTTTTTAATGGCTTATTTTCCATGCTAGATTTTAACGTAATGCATTTCAAGGACATTCAATGGACACTCTCCAAGCATTTTAAACCCTGTCTTGTATTTATGAAAGCACTTATAATTCCACAATCACCATGCTGATGAGAAAAGTTCCTAGATGTAAAATGATAGAAACAGAGTAGTAGATCAGTGAAAAGACTCTCTTACCTCTAATAATACTGTGTCATTATATCCTCATAAAAGAACAACAGGAAATACAATATCCATTAATGTTTAAAAAAAAAAAAGCAGTATGAATGTAGTGTAACAATTCAACCAATAATGAATATTTAATTTTAATCGACCACTAGTGCTGTCTGTCCGTCTGCAGGAAGTACAATTACTCCCAACTATGTCGACAACTCTACATCCAACGTGGCTCCATGGTGCTCCTGCTCATCGTCTGGGGAGGCGAGGGATGAATGTGATCACTTCCTGGGACTTTTCACAGACAACAGCTGTCTCCGTGAGTCCACAGCAGTCTTTTTCAACTACAAATGACAACATGTTTTCAGTGGAAATGTAATAGACTAACACAAAAAAGACTTGAAACTGTAAAATGAAAAGAAAAGGACAGAAGGTGGTAAAACCTTTAGAAAATGTAAATCTGTACAGTATCATGTGCATACCCTTTCAGCCAAAAGTAACTGGGCTGGCTCCTAGAACTAGATTCATAGCCAACACTGACATATTGATCAGTATTTCTACAAATGTCCACTCTCGTTTTTCAAGTAAAGCAACTAATACCATTTGCCTTTTCTTGGTGATGTGTCTGGCATCTTGAGGGCACTTCTCAAACTGCTCAACTTCATCTCGAGACGCATGTGGTTTAGTGGCTATAAATTGAAATTATAAGTTTAGGGGCTATAAATTCTAAATATACAGTACGTATATCAAACACCAATCAAACCAATAAAACCAGTATATTTCTAAGAATATATGTAACATTATAACATTATAAAAACACTTTATGACAAAATAATTTTATGTACAAGTTTACTTTTTGTACATAAATATTGCCCTTCTGAGGCTTTGTGAAGTAAAATCTTTTTTTTGAATGACCAAATACCTAAAAAAAAAAAAGGATTATGCACCAGTTCATGATGGAGAAGCTATTTGTCAGCTTTATATATTTTTAATATATTAAAAACTATTTATTTTCTGAGAATGTGCTTATTTAAGAGCAACTATGCAAATTAACATACACCTAGAAAAAGTACACTATATTGTATTATTTTTCATGTGAATCCCAGATTGTTCATGCTTTGTTGCCTTTTCTAGAAAGTGCTTTAAATCAGTTCTATATGTCTTTATCCATGCTGGGTCAGATCCTGACGTTTGAAAAAAAATCTGAATAAAGCATTAGCAACCAAAGCAAAAGAAAGCAATAAAAACAATAGAATAGGACATATATAGGGTCTATTTCAGATTGTGGTAGAAATGTTTTATTTGACAGCAATCCAAAAACAATATTCATGCACTTAGTCCCAAAGCACAGCCATATGGCTTTTCTAATGCCTCCTTTTCCTTGGTAATTTATCTATTCAGGTTCAGACAGATTGAGTTGGTTCAATTCAGATTAATGAAGTTTCCATTACAATGTGGTAGTATCTTATTTGGGGCAGAATTTTTAAAGATATAGTTCAGGTTTTGCTGACATGAAGTTGTGAGAAACGTTCACAGGCTATAGTTGAGATCTAAAAGTGTCCCTACCAGCACAGAGACTCTTGCTATGAGAAACAGAAACAACAAACAACAACAAAACAGAGAAAAAGTAGTTCTGAACTGTACAGGAGTGCTGTTAATCAAAGGTTTTTATGCTAGAAAAACGATGCATCTGTTTGGCTAGACTATTTAAGCATTTTAAAACATCTCAAACCTATGTCAGACCTTGATTTCAATTAGGACTATGTTTTGGCTGCTATTACTCCACGCGTAGGTGTGAAAGACAGTTGTTGCAAAGAGAAATAAATTAAACAGCTCATCACCACACCGAATACTTAAAAGTTGTTTACAAAAGTGAACTCTCCACACTACCTCTTATCTCAGCTGTTATAAACAAGTAGACATGCTTTTTAAATCAAAGATCAAAGATAGATAAAAATAATGTTGCAAAAGAACAAAGTGGGGAATACTCTTAAGAGCTTTTTGGGTGAATTTGAAAAAATCAATTTTAATTTAATCCTAGAAGGACTGTTCTGTCATCCTCCCATACCTCAAGTGCAGACAGTAGTCAGCTGCTGCCTTCTGTTCTCTGGTCTGGCACTCTCTTTTCCCAGTGGGCTTTTCTGATCTACCACAAGTCTGCTGGTTGTTGGATTCACCTCAACATTAAGGACATGGATTTACACAGTGACTCAGTGCTTTTTTTTTTTTTTGAAAACTGAACAAAACTGCTGGCTTCCCAAAAACCTCTTAAGAGCATTCTCGCTTAATCATTTGTCAATTCTTTTTTCTATATCTTACATTTTAATTTGAAAGGTGGTACTGTAGTTACATATAAACAATATATACAATATATTGGGCTTGTACATGTTGTCCATCACTAATATTGGCCAAATAGTTTACTTTTGTAAACAACTTTTAACTATTCGGGGTGTTGATGAGCTTTTTAATTTCTATTTCTGTTCTTACTGTCTTCTGCATGTACACGGCAGCGGGAATTAATATCAAGGTCTGACATAGTAACAGGAAGTTTTAAAATTATTGAAATAGTCTTACAAAACACTTGCATAGTTTATATCTTAGAAATACCTTTGATTAACTGTGCTTCCATACAGTACTGGAACTACTTTTTTCTCGTGCGTCCGAGAGCACCGGCTGTTTCTCATAGCAGGAGGTTAAGTGATGGTAGAGACACTGTTGCATCTCAGCTACAGACGTTGAACGTTTTACACAATTTCATGTCCAAAAACCTGAACTACTCCTTAAAAGAAAGGGAAATTAAAAATACCCAATGCAATAAGATGGCAAAAGGTGGTGGCATGTCCTTGTTGGTGTGATTGTCTTGTGTGTCATTACTTCTTCCTTCTATAATTTCTGAATATAGTTGGCACTGCCACTCCACCTCCTTTCTGCATTTACCACATGTATTTGTTGAGGTCAGCACAGACTGTTAAGTTAGCACATTGCCCTTTTTCGTTGGCCAGTTGTGACATGTTGTCACAAGAGGAGTTTGTCTTTTTTTTTGCATTCTTGGCTCTCAAATGCAACTGAGCAAGCTCACTGACAAGCTCCACCAGGAAGTGCCTCATGCACCCCAGTGCATGCCTGATAAAGCACATGTGAATTCAGCTCAGCCATGTCAGTCATGTTGTAAAACCCAGCACCTAGCCTCACTGTGCCACTGAGTGCACGGTGTACTCTTGCACCATCTGTTCCATCACATCCACACTGTTCCTCATACCGTTGTAGTCAGTGACTATGTTTGGGTTCTTTTTCTGGGTATACCCATTTTCAACCACACTGTATATTATACACAGAATTCTGACAGTCTTCAACTGTCTGGGCACATAGACCTTCAGTGTAGTACAAGACACTGAAAACGCCAGATGAATAAGCTTAGATTTAATGTTATTATAATAGCACACTACATAGCACCCAGGCACTTGAACTATAACAAGAATTAAAAAATCCTATATCTACAAGATACCTGAGTACTGAAATGGTGTTGGTCCAAATTTTGTTTGGCTGATAAGAGAAGCATCAGGCCAAACTCATTGACTGTGCCAAAGAGAATGGTCTTCTTGCTGAACAGTCAAAGATCATGTAAACTTATCTAAGCTACTCATAGACCGTTGTGTTAACTCACAGACTGGAAATGCACTGCACAACACTCTTAGATTCAGACTTTAAGATGGTGAACATCTGTTTGAGACAAAAAAAAACACTGGATTTTTGTAATCTAATACTGCATTCTTTCAAAGTTAGGTTGTCAAGTTACCAGTAATGCTTTAAGGCGCCCTTTTGATATGTGAGCCAACAGTTATGAAAGTAGATACATTGATTAATAAAATAGCATACACAGTCAGTAGGTCTTCGGAGAACTTGCTACAGAGGCAGTCAGATTAGTACAGGTTAATTTATATTTCACATTTACTAATAAATAAATACAATGCAATAAAATACTTAAAAGTAAATAAATAAAATGCTTAAGAAATAAATAGAAAAAATAATTGAATCAAACCTGCATTGGATGCTTCGAAGTCTCTTACCAGAGGGCAGCAGGGAGAACAGTCCATGGTGTGTGAGGGGTCATTTATGATGTTACGGGCTTGGAACACGCAGTGCTGGAATGAAATGGTTTTAATGGAGGGAAGAGGAGCACCGATGATCCTTTCTGCTGTTCTCACCACTCTCCTCACTTTCTTCCAGTCTGAGGCGCTGCAGCCTCCACCCCACACAGTGAGACAGCTGGTCAGAACGCTCTCTATGGTGCTTCTGTAGAAGGTGGTGAGGATGGGTGGGGGCAGGTGGGCTCTCCTCATCCTCCGCAAGAAGTACATGCACTTCTGTGCCCTTTTGACCAGTGAGTTGGTGTTTACATTCCAGGTGAGAGTGTCTGTTGTGTGAACCCCCAGGAATTTGGTGATGTTGACTACCTCTAGAGCTGAGCTGTTGATGACCAGTGGAACGTTGTTAGGCGGGTTCTTCCTGAAGTCCAAGATTATCTCCTTCATCTTCTCTATGTTCAGGATCAGGCTGTTATCTTTTCACCAGTCCACCAGCTGCTCCACCTCCTCTCTGTAGTTCTGGTCGTTGTCGTCACTGATGAGGCCCACCACCGTGGTGTCGTCTGCAAATTTTATGATGTAATTGGAGGTGAACCTGGCGACGCAGTCATGTGTCATCAGGGTGAACAGCAGGGGGCTCAGGACGCAGCCCTGAGGGAAGCCTGTGCTTAGGGGGATGACATCAGAGGTGTTCTGTCCAATCCGGACTGACTGAGGTCTGTTGGTGAGGAAGTCTAGCAGCCAATTGCAGAGGGGTGTATTGAAGCCCAGCTGTTCCAGTTTGCCCATCAGATGCTGTGGGATGATGGTGTTGAAAGCTGAACTGAAGTCCAGGAAAAGCATCCGCACCCAAGCCTTCCAAAGAAGTTGTTCAGTTTATTTAGGAAGTCAGTGTTTGCTGCATCTAATAAGCAGGCTGAATTAACGTTCCTAAGGTTCTATTGAAAAAAACAAAAAAACATTGTGATTATGACTGAAACTTGTTCGACAAGTTGAATTCTGAATAAAGCGTGCAAGCATACCCCTCCCCCTAGTTGCATACCCACGTCACATGTCCCCTCCGTCATCCACTGCAAAAAGTCACTGTGGAGAAGTCCTCACTCGATGAGCGCAGGACCCATCCTTGCATCCCCTCTTATTTTGAAATTTACTCGTACGGCTCTGCTGTTTTTTTAGCAATTGATGATTTTTTTTCTCATTAATTCATCACAAATAGACTTGATCCATAAATCTG